AAGATGATCAGAGGGCTGGAACAGCTCTGCTGTGAGGAAAGGCTGAGAGAATTAGGATTGTTCAGCCTGGAGAAGAGAAGGCTCCAGGGAGACAGGGTGCAGCCTTCCAGGGCCTGAATGGGGAGGGACTTTGCACAAGGGTGTGTAGTGATAGAACAAGGAGGAATGGCCTTAAACTGAAAGGCAGCAGGCTTAGATGGGATATCAGGAAGAAATTCTTCCCTGTGAGGGTGGGGAGGCCCTGGCACAGGTTGCCCAGAGAAGCTGTGGCTGCCCCATCCCTGGAAGTGTCCAAGGCCAGGTTGGTGGAGCAACCTGGGCTAGTGGAAGGTGTCCCTGCCCATGGCAGAAGGTGGGACAGGATGATCTTTAATGTCCCTTCCAACCCAAACCATTCTGGGATTCCATGATAATTGGCTTTGGGAGATTTTGGGTAACAAAGGGGCTTTTCACTCGGGAGCTCAGTTTCAGGTTGCTGTGAGGGTGACTCAGCCACACTCAGCGCGATGGGTGAGGTCCCTCAGGTCAAGCTTGGTTTTCCTGACTGTCTTTGCTCTCCACAGGGCCTCCTGTTCTCTACCCCTGAATGTCTGAAGGAACCCCAGGACCTGGTGAAGCTCTACCTGCACGAGTCCAACCGGGTGTACCGGGATAAGATGGTTGAAGCAAACGATTATGGTACCTTTGATAAAATCCAGAGGGAGACGGTGAAGAAATTCTATGATGTAAGTGTTGAGGTGTAAGTCTGATGATAATGTCATAGGAGTAACATAGGTTGATAACAACCACAGGATGGGTTTCTTGGAAAGGAAGTCACTATTGGGGATTTTCCTTTCCCCCCCTTTCTCTCTTATCCCTCTTTCCCCTTTGCAGACCATAGTTGCAGGTGCAACTGTATGGGCATGAAAAGGCTGGAATGCCATACTTCCCTTGGCAGGGGCACAGAGCTGCACTGGGGTTTCTATACTTCATATATACATTTTTTTCTCTCTTTTACAGGACATAGAAGAAACTTTAGAGCAGACCAAGCACATGAATATTTTTTGCCATTTTGCTAAAGGCACTGGGGAACCTGGGTACAGGCCAATTCCAACCTGGGAGGAGCTGAACCAGATCCTCGTGGAAGCCTTGGATAACTACAATGAAGTCAACGCTGCCATGAACCTGGTGCTGTTTGAGGATGCCATGTGCCATGTGTAAGGGGATTTTCTGGCTTTATGGTCTTGCCATAGCATTTGTGTGTGCAGATTGTTTTGTGGGGTTCCCTGGAGGATGGAGGGAGATGGATCAATGGGCCAAGGCCAGTGAGATGGGGTTCAACAAGCCCAAGTGCCAGGTCCTCACAACAACCCCATGGAATGCTCCAGGCTTGGGACAGAGCAGCTGGAAAGCTGCTGGTGGGAAAGGCCCTGGGGGTGCTGGTGACAGTGGCTGGACATGAGCCCAGGTGAGCCCAGGGGGGCAAGAGGCCAATGGCCCCTGGGCTGTGCCAGCCCTGGTGTGTCACAGGCCCAGGGCAGGGACTGTCCCTGTGCTGGCACTGCTGGGGCACCTCCAGTGCTGGGGCAGCTCTGGGCCCCTCGGACAAGAGAGACATTGAGGGGCTGGAGCGTGTGCAGGGAAGGGAACAGAGCTGGGAAGGGGCTGGAGCAGCAGGAGCAGCTGAGGGAGCTGGGGGGGCTCAGCCTGGAGAAAAGGAGGCTCAGGGGGGACCTTCTGGCTCTGCAACCCCCTGACAGGAGGGGGGAGCCGGGGGGGGGGCGGGCTCTGCTTGAAGAGAACAAGGGACAGGATGAGAGGACATGGCCTGAAGTTGCACCAGGGGAGGCTCAGGTTGGATATTGGGAAAATTTCTTCCTACAAGGGGTGATCAGGCCTCGGAAGGGGCTGCCCATGGAGGTGATGGAGTCCCCATCCCTGGAGGGATTTAAAAGCCATGTGGATGAGGCACTTGAGGACATGGTGGTGCTGGTCATTTAGAGGTCATTTCTAACCTAAACAGTTCTCTGACTCTGTGGTAAAGGGCCTGTTGCAGCTCCTCATGGCTCTAGTGTAGCAGAACCCAGAGCTGTATCCTTTCCCTGGCAGTGGTGGTTTCCTCAAACAGCTGTGAGGGTTGCAGACTTCAACTGGGAACCATCTCTGGAATCCTTATGGTAACACTGAGGTCTTCCTGTGTTGGGGCACATGAGGTGGCCTTTTGTAGAGGCTCCCATGGTCTGTGTGTCATTCCCACTGTGTGACTTGGCAAGGCCAACTCTCAAACCCACTTGAACAACCTTTGCAGGGAAAAGAAAATGTGGGGAAAATGTCAACATGAACCTGACTGGGAATCATTTCAGGGAAAATGAGGCAAATTTGGTGGGTGGTTATAAAGAGCTAGAATACAAAGATTATGACTAAGTCTCATTTCTGTCCCTGACTTTTCCTGTACTGGCAGGAAGGAACTGAGTGCTGAAGCCGTTGTTTTCTGATTTATGATACAGGTTTCACTGGAAATTTTCCAAGGAAAGGTAGTGAGATCCAACCCATCACTCCTCAGACTGTTTCTGGTGTCCAGCCACAGGATGTGTGCATGTTGTGATGCTCTAGGAAGGATCCTGGAGATAAACAGGGTGTTTTATACAGTGCCATGTTGTGGCACTACATACCTTTGAACCCCAGTAGAATTCAGAAGCAGCAAGGAGGAGTTCAAAGGGAGACAGGGGCATTCAGTGCCATGAGCTTGCCAGTCAAATTTTATGAGAGAAATGAGGAGGGTCAAAATAAAATTTTTACGTTGAGAGGTGATTGAAGTTTGACAAACCCATTAAATCTTTATTTTCACCTTTGGTGGAGATTTT